CTGTGAAGAGACACCATGACTATGGCAACTCCTATAAAGGAAAGCATCTAACCGGGGCTTGCTTACACTTGGAGAGGTTTAGTCCATTGCCATCATGGCAAAGCAGCAGAGAGTTACACATCTGGATCCGCAGGCAGCAGGAAGAGAGAGACTCTGGGCTTGGAATGGTTTTTTTTTTGAAACTTCAAAGCCCACCCCCCTGTATCAGGCTTTCTTGGACTGCCAGCCCCCAAATCATGACACAGAGACTTATTATTAATTACGAAAACTTGGCCTATAGCTTAGGCTTGTCCCACTAGCTCTTACAACTTAAATTAACCCATTTTTTTTATTTATCTATGTTTTGTCTCATGGCTTTTTACCTCTCTTCTATCTTGCACCTCCTGTTTCTTTTCCATGTCTATGGTGTCTCTCTTGTGCCTAATTCACATCTCCCCTTCTTCTCTCTCTGCCCAGAAGTCCCGCCTAACCTCTTCCTGCCTACCTATTGGCCATTCATCTCTTATTAAACCAATCAGAAGGTGCCTTGGCAAAGACACATCTTCACAGTGTACAAAAGATTAAGCCGGGCGGTGGTGGCGCACGCCTTTAATCCCAGCACTCGGGAGGCAGAGCCAGGCGGATCTCTGTGAGTTTGAGGCCAGCCTGGGCTACCAAGTGAGTTCCAGGAAAGGCGCAAAGCTACACAGAGAAACCCTGTCTCGAAAAACCAAAAAAAAAAAAAAGATTATTCCACAGCACCCCCCAGTGACACAGTTCTTCCAACAAGGCCACACCTCCTAATACTTTCAAATAGTGCCACTTTCCGGTGACCAGGTACTCAAATCTATGAGCCGATGGGATCCATTCTCATAAAACCCACCAAAGATAGCTTTACCTTTCTGGGTATATTGCCTGCAGCATACTTCTCTCTCTCAGGCTAGTTCCACTCCTTAAGTGCAGTTCTTTATTTCAACTTGCCTTTCTACCTTACTGGGGGTATTTGCAGAGTTTAGGAAAGTCTGTTGTGGAGGCTGAGTTGATGCTTTTTTTTTTTTTTTTTTTTTTATATATATACTTGTGCAAGGCACCAGGCTCTCTCCTCAGTGGTAGTCTAGCAGTAAACTCATCATGAAAATGGAGTGCCAGTTGCCTATAGAACAGTCATTCTTTCCTTTAGCATTGTTTTGGAGAGAAAAGAGACACCAATACCAGTACTATGTGTCCTCGTGTGTGAGTTGTGGTTATGAGTGGAAAAAAATAAGAAGAAATAAATCACAGTGAGATCAGCACCAGGTTGCCATGTAGAGGAAGGGACATATACACGAGAGGAATGGTCGATGAAAAGAGAAAGGTTGGATGGAGATGGAGGAGTTTTGTTTAAAAGGAGACGAAGAAGAGAGAGTTTAAGATGTGCATGAAAGTAACGGAGCAGTCTTTTCTCGGGAGGTTCAGTCACAGGGACTCTAGGGCAGCCAGGACGCTAGGATACAGAGAGGAAAGAAAAATACTACAATGCTGAGAAAAGAAGCCGGCGTGGTGGTGGTGCATGCCTTTAATCCCCGCACTGGGGAAGCAGAGGCAGGCCTGGTCTACAGAGTGAGTTCCAGGACAGCCAGAACTGTTACACAGAGAAACCTGTCTCAAAAAACAAAACGAGGAATTCCAGGACAGCCAGGGCTGTTACACAGAGAAACCTGTCTCAAAAAACAAAACAAAACAAAGAATACTAAGAAAAGAAGAAAAAACCCAACAACATGGTGCATTTTATAAACAGAAAAGAACTGTAGAAGGAAACAGAGGTGGGAGGAGACTGGGTGTGAGGCCAGATTCTCTACTGACTCCCTGACCTAGTAGACGACTTGGGATTCAGGCCAAAGTCTTGGTGTATTCAACGTCAAAGGTGACTGGGAGCCGGGACCGGAGAGCAGTGGCTGTCTGGCTTCAGATGCTGAGGCAGAGCAGGTGGGCTCTAATTGCTAATGGTTAACACCAGAGTTGGGGCTGAGGAATGGGCAGGCTGTCTGGGTGTCTCTCGCTCCCCACTTCCTCTTCTCGGACTGAGGTCCTGTCTTGTCTCTTACTTAAATTTGTGGCTAATCCTCCCACTTTTGCCTTGAGTGCCAGAATTACAGGTGTGCACCATTATACCTGCCCCTCTCAGACTTTCGGAAAATAGATAGAAATTTCAAATTTCTTTAGATAAATTCTTGTCTTCCATTTGGAGCCCTGTCTGCCCTTTGACCCAGTTTGCTTGTAACGTGGCTTGGTATTGCATGGTTCCCTTCTTACAGAACTGGACTGATTCCTCTGTAAGCTCTGGAGCATTCTTAGGTCTTTGTTTTGTGATTTTCAGATTTACATGTTTAATTTCTGTGCGTAGTTTCTGACTAGATTACAATTGCCCATTTTTACTGATGATTTGGTTTTTAAAACATGAAAGGAGCCTGATTAAAACATAGCTTGAGTGAATAAAGGAGCCTTAGGAACAGATTCCATTGACTTAAAATGGTGAACTTTGACCAAAGTAATTGAAAAGAGCACTATCATCAGGGTGACATAGCTTTATATCTAAGTTGCTGTTCTAGAAGCCATTGCCAAAGAGAGAGCTCGTAGCTCTGGCCACCTGGCCCGAGAAACACCTTAAAGGGGTACCCGGGCACGCTCACTGTAGGTCTAGAATTCACTAACGTACAAGCATGGTAGGCGGCCCAGCCTCCCTCCCGGGTGGTCTGTGAGCACAGAGCATACTGTGCTTTCTGTTGAGGAAGCAAGCCTTCTCTCCCTGTTTCCTGCTCCGGTCAATAGCCCTGGGAAGACTATCCCTTTTTCCTACCAGTTGATATCTGGAAAACTTAAAGCAAAGTAAGTCTGTCCCTGCCCTCCTTTTGGCTTTTATTTTGTTTTGTTTTTCTTTTTGATTTTTCGAGACAAGGTTTCTTTGTATAGCCTTAGCTGTCCTGGAACTAGCTCTGTAGACCAGGCTGGCCTCAAATACCTAGAGATCCACCTGCCTCTGCCTCCTGAGTGCTGGGATTAAAGGTGTGCACCAGCACCACCCAGGAGGGGGGGGCTTATTTATTTATTATAATTTTAATTAATTTATTTTTATTTTATGTGCATTGGTGTTTTGCCTACATGTATGTCTGTGTGCGGGTGTCAGGTCCCCAGGAACTGGAGTTTCAGACAGTTGTGAGCTGCCATGTGGATGCTGGGAATTGAACCTGGGTCCTCTGGAAGAACAGTTAGTGCTCTTAACCGCTGAGCCATCTCTCCACCCTATCTATTTTTATTTGAGAGAGGGTCTCACTATGTAGACCAGGCTGGCCTCAAACTCACAGAGATCCCCCTGCCTCTGTTTCTGCCTCCTACTGGAATCCCACTCTTTTTTATACTGTCACTCTTGCCTTCCTGGTCCATAATTTAGCCAAAGCCTGAACTAGAAGTAAGTATGCATTTGGATGTAACATGTGTGTTTTTATAAATGCACTAAAGCCCTCTTGTGAGCTACTTTGAAAGGAACCAGGCTTGGTTTTGGCCTTGCTTTATAGAGAAGATTTATTTCCTAGTCTGGAAATATGACTGCCCAAGACAAATTCCTTCTACTTTTCAGTGAGATTACCCATATTCTTGGCTGTCTTCATCCAGCTATTTCAGAGAGGCCAGGAAGGGCCAAGCAGCCTGGAGGCTCATCGGGGGTCATGTGCAGTGCAGTGTAGAATAGGTTGGTGGGATTTAAGTATTTGAAAAATGGTTGTGTCTTAGGGTTATCACTGTGATGAAACACATGACCAAAGCAAGTTGGGGAGGAAAGGGTTTATTGGGCTTACACCTCCACGTTGTAGTCCATCATTGAAGGCAGTCTGGATAAACGCACATAGACATGGGATGCAAACTTTTTTTAAAAATTTTTTCGAGACAGGGTTTCTCTGTGTAGCTTTGGAGCCTGTCCTGGAACTTGCTTTGTAGACCAGGCTGACCTTGAACTCACAGAGATCCACCTGCCTCTGCCTCCCGAGTGCTGGGATTGAAGGTGTGCGCCGCCGCCGCCGCCGCCGCCGCCGCCGCCGCCGCCGCCGCCGCCGCCGCCGCCGCCGCCGCCGCCGCCGCCGCCGCCGCCGCCCTGGTGGGATGCAAACTTTTTAGTGTGCGTGTGACAAAATATGTTCTGTTCATTTAATTAAACTAATCTATGCCGGTACAAAAATTAAACTTCATTGAACCCTGCTCAGTAAGTCTCTTTATTTGGAAAGAACGAGTGTTTCCAAGGTCTCTCTTAGAATCTGTTTGCTGTGAAGCGAGTTTCTGAGGTCTGAGGTGGCTCTGCATTCCCATGCACGTGCCCCCAACCATGCACAAAGAGAGTTCATCATGCCCGTTAACAGGCTTGAGCGGGGAGGACAAAGGCCTAAGCTGGAAGCGTCAGTGGGATTGGATGCCCCCACCCCACCCCCCAGCTGGGTGGGAGCCGGTTCTTCAGGGCTCTGCGCTGCTGTTGCCACACCACTTCTGGCGTCTGTGAGTTCCTGGAGCCTCTGAGTAATTCTCGATACTCTGCCCTTGTGGCCTTCGGTGTAACTGTTGTTCACTTCCATGTTGTGCGTTTGAAAGGGGGCTGAGACTCTGCTGGTTGTGGTCTTGGGGGCCCATGAGAGGGTGTGCAGAGTGGGCTCCAGTTAATAAGCCTAGCAAAGCTCTGGTTCATGTCCCAGAGGTCTAAGCTCTGCTGTCCTTCCCTGAGCAGGGGCCCTATCCACCCCTCTTGCCATTATCTGGGAAATGACCAGCTCCTGGGCCATTTTGGACAAGGCAGGGTCGTTCCACACCCAGACTTACCTGGTACAAGGAGCTGAGATTGTAGTGAGAAAAAAATTTCCCCAAGTCCTCAACTCAGCCGGGCTGAGCCCTAGTCTCCTCCCATCCTAGTTATTACATGGAAAGGCTGGAGTGGGGTCTGCGTAGCTTTGACCAATCCCCGGTTCTCCTGCTTTGTCCCTGATCAATTTGTTTGGTTCTTCCAGGAAGAGTATGCTGAAGGAGAGGGTCATGGACTTGGTCACCCAGACGACCATCCTGCCCCTGCTCTTTGGCTGCCTGGGGATTTTCAGCCTCTTCCGGGTGCTACAGCGGATCCGCTCCAAGGCTTACCTGAGGAATGCTGTGGTGGTGGTTACAGGTGCCACCTCAGGGCTCGGCAGAGGTAAGTCATGGGTCTGTGATGCCAGGAGTGGAATCAGCAGGCTTCATGGGCCTCACAGGACATGTGGAAGGGACCCGCTGTCCATGGTCCAATTGGAAAGAAGGGTGTGTGAGCAGCGAGAAAGGCCTGAGCCTCAGTGTGCTTCCCACTGCTGCTGGGAAGCAGTGGCCTTCCTCAGCCTTGCTGCTTTTTGAGAGAGGGGTTTTCAGATACGGAGAACTAGGTGAATGGGTGTGTGCACCGTTTTCTGGGTTTAGGGCTTGGCGCTGGCTTCCACGATTTCTCCTTTTCCCCATCAGGGACTTGGCAGGATTAGAGGTCAGGTCCATGAGGCCCCTGCTTTCCACACCCAGGCCTTCCGCTCAGTGCCCTTGCCCTTCAGTGATACCTCTGAGTCTTGGGGAAAGTGTGCTCCATGAAGCTCAGCCCTTTCCTTCCCTGGAGCTCTGTCAATGACTCCAACAGCCTAGGCAGAGGCTTACGACAGACCTGCCATGTAGGGCACCCGCCCTCCTTCCTCAGCCTCTGCTCCCCAGTAGCAGCTCCCTGTGGCTCCAGTGCCATTCCGGGGAGGAAGGTGGAGGAGGCCTGGGATTGGGCTGCAACTCCCGCCTCAGCAGCGTGTTCCCAACAGGCGTGGTAGGGAGGGAGGGTTACCAGTGCTCTCACTGTGCCCTCACAGCTGAGAGTCCAGACGCCATGGCTAGGACTTGCAGCAGCAGCAGCTGCAGAGCCAGGAGCCAAACCCAGGTCTGGCTCCAGAGCTCAATCCTAAAGGATTGAGCAGCTGGGGAAGCGAGGAGCCCTGGAAGAATGTGTGAGTCCCAGGGATAGTCCAGATTCATCCACAGGTGGGAGCAGAAGGGTGGGAAAGGTGTGGAAGGTGGGTGTTAGAGGAACACAAAGGGGCAGACAGGCCTGCAGTGTACCAGGGGAGCTAGGGAAGGCCCTTAGGCTCACTTGTATGCCGATGCTATGACTGGTAGGCGAGGTCTCTGATGGTGACCCCAGGTTTGCCTTTTAGATCTTTAGACTCTTTTCCCCCCTGCCCCGTGAGACAGGGTTTCTCTGTGTAGCCCTGGCTGTCTTGGAATTCACTTAATAGACCAGGCTGGCCTTGAACTCAGAGGTCTGCATGCCTCTGCCTCCTGAGTGCTGGAAGTACAGCTGTGTTAGGCCCTATGCATTGGTCAGGCCTCTGACCTCACTTAGCTACTATAAATAGGGCAGTCAGCAGCTGCTTATTGGATCTCATTGAAGAGGAGCAATTTGAGTTTATTTTTACTTTTATGTTTTTTGAGACAGGGTCTTACTGTGAAGCCCTAACTGGCTAAGAACCCACTTATATAGACCAGGTTAACCTTGAACTTGTGATGGTCCTGTAGCCTCTGCTTCCCTGCTGCTGAGATTCCCATGCCTAGCTCGAGAAGAACAAATTTTAAAGTCCTTGAAGAGTGACAGCTGGCGAGATTGGAGTGGTGCAGTGTGGGTGCTGGACATGTGGATGTGTAGGACATCGTCTGTTATCTGCACTTTCTCTCCCAGTACCAGACTGAAGGAAACAGAAAATATGATTGAAGAAACTGCACCTGAGCATAGTGTACTCTTCTGTGCCCCCGGCAGTATGCTTACATTCTGCCCATGTAAGGCCTTAGCAGCAGGAGTCCATCCAGGTACAGTGGGACAGAGCCTTAGGTGGCCACCTAAGAGATTCTCCTGGTGCTGCCGGGGAAACGCTGCTGTCCTCTAGCATCTGCTAGGAGGAACATCCATATGGTCCTGCGTACCATGGCCGCTGCCCCGAGCGAGGGTCAGCATTATAGAATGCGTTTTCAGGTAGACTGGTTCTCAAAGTTTGTCTTCTGTTTTGTGCATTTAAGCTACATGAGCCTTGTCCTTGTAGAACACTGACTAAATGTCCAGAAGGATTTGGATGTTCTGGATGCCGACTGGTGCCAGCCTGAAGCACGGCTATGCACAGCTGTCTTGCTTTAGAGCCCAGGCATGCCAGCAGTGCTGGGGACTTATCTGCAGCTGTAGATAACCGCTGGCCTCTTCCCTTGGCCCTCCTACCTCCTATATCAGCTTATCTAGGAAGCCAAAGTGGAATCCTTCCAGGCTGTTCTCACCTCTGTCACGACATCGATTTTAATTTCCTCCCTTTTAGGCATCTCTAGGATGCAAAGCTCACATAAAATCTAGAAGATCATTTTCTAGAAGCTGTCTAGACACCAGTATGACTCCTCACTCTCGTTCCTATGCATCACTTCCTAAAATGTCCCATCTCTTGGTCAGGACAGGACAAGACAGGGTGAGGAAACCTGCAGGGCCCAAGCCTCCGACCTGTGGGATGCTGTAGTGAGCCAGGTGAGTAGGTCTGGCCTCAGGAGCTAGCCTTCCATCAGGATGGGCCTGTGAACAAAGTTGCTGGCGTCCTTCAGAAATGACAGGACCCTGTTGTGCAGTCTGCTTAGCACCTCCTTCCAGAAGGTGAGGGCTGCTGGCCTGACCTGCTGGGGAGTGCTGTGCAGGAGGCTGAAGGAACAGCCCCAGGGCACTGAAGTACCGCCCTGTCCCATGAGCAGCCGCTCAGTTGTCAAAGCACCTCTCTTTTTTGTGAAGGACATGAATTTCTTCTGCCCTCTTACCCAGCTCTTGTGTGAGGGAAGGGTTGTTCCCCTCTACGCACAGTGTACAGTAGACCTTTGACCCTGCCCCTTCTCAGATAAGCAAATGATAGCCCTGTTCCTTGCCAACACTTTGGTGATGGCTTTCAGAGGTTGAATTGCCCTGCAAGGCAGGCTTGTCCCATCCGTCTTAGCCATAGTGCCTAAGAAACCTCCGGACTGCCTGAGCCTCTAAGATGGGTTCAGAGACCTGTGGTCAGTGAGGGTCAGTGTCCTGAGAAGACAGATGCACGAGCACTCCTCGTAAGACAGGTTTCCAGTCCTGCCAGCTGCTTAGTTTGTGGGACACTTTGAGGGGCAGTTTGGAAACATTAAAGCATTAGCCAGGCAAGGTGGTGCGTGCCTGTGTCCTAACACTTGGGTGGTAGAAGCAAGAGGATCAAGAGTTCAAGGTCATCCTCAGCTTCTTGGTGAGTTTGAAGGCCAGACTAGGCTACATGAGGCCTTGTCTCCAGACAACAGAAAGGTTAAAGTATTAAAGACAGGTATTAAAAATACTTCATAATGCTTTACCTATGACGTAATTACCTACTTTACCTCATTCAACCTCAGTCTCCTCTGGATGAGATATTATTATTTATATCTTACGGAGGGGAAAGGGAGAAACAGATTGTAACGTAGGCAGATGTCATAGAACCTATAAGCAAAAGAAAGCTAGAGTTGTGCATAGACCTAGCTCAAGTCCATTCTCCAGAACACTGGGCTCCACTCTGTCCAAAAATGCAGATGTTAGGGTACTGAGAGTTAGCTAGGACATGTTTGGGGGAGTAAACAAGGAGGAAGAGGCATTCCCTATTTCCCCCTACTTAATTTTGCTGCCTGAATCTCTTCTCTAGCCCAGAAAGGCCTTAGGCCCAGCATCGCCTTCCATGGCTTAGTCCCCTGCCTCCAGCATTTCCTCTGCACCTACCCTTCAGGGTCAGGACCCCAATAGGCCCTGGCCTTTCTGCTTTGATTTTTCAAAGAACTGTGCATGTGTGTCTGCCAGCTGCATTAGTGGTCTGGGGAGCATTGTTGGTGCTGAACCGCAGCCTCCAGGGACCACAGCCACACGAGAGCTCACACCACTTGTGGAAGTGGGTTGAGTTTACTGAACAGGTTCTCTGCTTGTTGGTCTTGGACTCTGCTTAGCCTCGCTGGGCTTCATCAATAACAAGTAAGTTGATGCCCACAGGGTTGCTCAGGACCACATGAGAACACCATGGAAAGTTCTGAGCATTGTACTCACAGACCTGTCCACCTTCCTGGCTTTTCTCTGCCTCATAAATGTGTGTCATACCTCTGGATGGGAACCCTACACTAACCTTACCTCCCAGCTCCACACCGGTCTACATATACGTGTAAGGATGTGAGAAGCAGGCACTGTGCAGGGCTGGGTGACTTTAAACTGATCTGCTTGGAAGAAAAATGGCACTGGATAATTATAGCTGTCAGAGTTCTCTTCTTGTCCCTTAGAATGTGCCAGAGTCTTCCATGCTGCGGGGGCTAAGCTGGTGCTCTGTGGTCGAAATGTGGAAGCCCTTGAAGAGCTCACCAGGGAACTTGCTGGTTCCTCTACCTCCCAGGTGAGCCTACAGCAAGGGTTCTGTGGGGAAGGAAGAACTGTCATAGGCCACAGTAGCCTACTCTAGGACCGCTGAGCTACATGGCATCCATCCATCCATGTGATCACACTCTATTGGAAGGCAGCAGCCTCCAAGCAGTTTGAGAACCATCTACATTAACATGGCCATCGGCCACAGCCACCACTGCCTAGGCTAACAGCTAGGGAAGTCTTCATACTCATCTGGTGTTGGCTGGAGATTTTTTTTTTTTTAATTGTCTTACCAGCTGGGCTGTGGTGGCGCACGCCTTTAATTCCAGCACTTGGGAGGCAGAGGCAGGTGGATCTCTGTGAGTTCAAGCCCGATCTACAGAGTGAGTTCCAGGATAGCCAAGGCTATACAGAGAAACCCTGTCTTGAAAAACAAAACAAGCCAGGTGGTGGTGGCACACGCCTTTAATCCCAGAACTTGGGAGGCAGAGCCAGGCGGATCTCTGTGAGTTCAAGGCCAGCCTGGGCTACAGAGTGAGTTCCAGGACAGGCTCCAAAACTACACAGAGAAACCCTGTCTTGAAAAACCAAAAAAGAAAAACAAAACAAAAAAACAAACAAACAAAAAAGTTGTCTTACTAGCTGGAAGATGGATCAGAGGTTAAGAACACTGGTTGCTCTTCCAGAGGTCCTGAGTTCAATTCCCAGAAACCACATGGTGGCTCACAACCATCTGTAATGAGATCTGGTGCCCTCTTCTTGAGTAACAGCATACATGCAGGCAGAACACAATACATAATAAACAAATAAATAAATAACTCTTTAAAAAAAATTGTCTTACAACATTTATAGTGCTAATTTTCATATCTTCAGCCCTGTTTGAGTTAACTTCATATATAGTATTAGGAAAAGGTCCAATTTCATTCTGTAATTTTCTCTTTCTCTCTTTTTAATTTAATTTAATTTTTTTTGCTTTTCGAGACAGGGTCTCTCTTTGTAGCCCTAGCTGTCCTGGAACTCACTCTGTAGGACAGGATGGCTTTGAACTCACAGAGATCTGCCTACCTCTGTCTCCAAAATGCTGGAATTAAAGGCGAGTACCACTACGTCTGGCAGAATATGTTATTACATAAATGTTTATGATTTTATATTTTCTTATAATAAACTTCTAATATATAACATCCTTGTACTGTTTCTTTGGCACTTAGAGTCGATTTTATCTAATGGTAGTGTAGTTACTGTATCTCCCTCTTGGTTGCTTAGAGTCGATTTTATCTAATGGTAAGTGTAGTTACTGTATCTCCCTCTTGGTTGCTTAGAGTCATTTTATCTAATGGTAGTGTAGTTACGGTATCTCCCTCTTGGTTGCTGTTTGCATAAGGCATCTTTATGTCTAGATCTCAGGTGAGCCTTTCATATGTAACATATAGTTGGATTGTTTTTAAAAAATTCATTTTGTTGGGGGTTGGAAAGATGGTTCAGCGGTTAAGAGCACTGGCTGCTCTTCCAGAGGACCCAGGTTCAATTCCCAGGACCCAAATGGGAGCTCACAAGGCTTCTGACATCCTCACACAGACATACATTCAGGCAAAATGCCAATGAGCATAAAATAAAAACAAATTATGTATTTAAAAAATACATTTTGTCAGCCTCTATCTTTTGATTAGAGAGTTTATTCTAATTACTTTTTTTGTTTTGTTTTAGTTTTTTGAGACAGGGTTTCTCTGGGTAGCTTTGGCTGTTCTGGAACTCACTCTGTAGACCAGGCTGGCTGAAAACTCATAGATCCACTTGCCTCTGCCTCCTGAGTGCTGGGATTAAATGTTAGCATTTAGGCATCTGTACTGGCCTGCCCTTAGGGTCCTGACAGGATATGTCCTCAGATGCAGCCACTAAGAGCACCGCTGTGCACATTCGCTACAGTTCCTTATAAAAGGCAGATCTTGTACACCTCCTGTCTCTTTCTTTCCCTGAGCTTTAGTCCCCAGGACCAGCCTCTGCCCCTTCTCTGTCCCTTTTTCTCCTCTCCCCTCAATAAACCTCCCACGTGGGCCTGTTGTATGACTCCATCTCACCACTTTTTTTTTTTAATTTATTTATTATATGTACATGTTCTGCCTGCATGTATGCCTGCATTCCAGAAGAAGACACCAGATCTCATTATAGATGGTTGTGAGCCACCATGTGGTTGCTGGGAATTGAACTAAGAAGAAGAGTCCTTCATATTCAGTCCTAAGAAGAGTCAGTGCTCTTAACCTCTGCGCCATCTCTCCAGCCCATTCCCGACACTTTTTTTTTTTTTTTTTTTTTTTTTTTGGTTTTTCGAGACAGGGTTTCTCTGTGTAGCTTTGCGCTTTTCCTGGAACTCACTTGGTAGCCCAGGCTGGCCTCGAACTCACAGAGATCCGCCTGGCTCTGCCTCCCAAGTGCTGGGATTAAAGGCGTGCACCACTACCACCGCCCGGCTCCCATTCCCGCCACTTTTAAAATACAACATTAAAGGCTGGGCCAACACCATGGGGGCACTCTATTTACATTTAAAGTATTTTCTGACCAGGAGGGACCTTTTGCTATTTGCTATTCCATTGTCTATATGCTTCCTAGCTTTAATTTTAACCCCTCATTTCTTCTTTAATCATCTTTGTTAAAAAACTGATTTTTTTGTTTTGTTTTTTTGAGACAGATTTTCTCTGTATAGCGTTGGAGTCTGTCCTGGATCTCGCTCTGTAGACCAGGCTGGCCTCAAACTCACAGAGATCCACCTGCCTCTGCCTCCCGAGCGCTGGGATTAAAGGCGTACGCTGCCACCGCCCAGCTCTGATTTTCTTTTTTGATGGTAGAATATTGATTCCCATCTCATTTCCTTACATGCCTATTTCCTTTGTGGTCAGGGTGCTCACCCATAGGGTGAGAGTAAGACCACTACCACAATTTTGAGCCAAGTTTGAAGCAAGCTTGATTTTATTGGGGCGCACCCAAGAGCTGTCCAGTGACTGCCTCTAAGTGGGGTTAAAGAGAACAGCCCTGAGTCCATTTCTTAGGCCCCTTTTAAGGAGTAAACTCACTGGTAGTTGCAAAACAGGTTTACAGAAGAGAGACGTGGGGCACTAAGTACAGGAAGATCTCAGAAAACACCATGTGGTTGCTATGTGATTAGGGAGGGTTAAGGAGGGTCAAAGAGGGTCAGGGTGTTCTCAAAAAAACGAGTCAAGGTTATGGGTTGGGGCAAGACAGGCTCCAGGAGACAGCCTTAAAAACAGCAACTCAGCTCTTAACAGTAAATTGAAACTTTTGTTTGTTTTTTTGAGACAGGGTTTCACTTTGTAAAATTAATTATTAAATTTTTTTCTTTTTCTGTTTTTGGGACGGGGGTTCCATGCAGGGTTTCTCTGTAGACCAAGCTAGCCTTGAACTCAAGAGATCCACCTGGCTCTACCTACACAGTGCTGGGATTAAAGGTGTGCACCACCACCACTCAACTCAGAAACTTATTTTTAACAGTACAGCATAATGGCCCCTGTCTTCAAAATGGAGTCAGGCAGGTTCCTCGTTGGAGATTACACTTGACATCCTAAAGTTGTAACACTAACATTTTTGCCTGCTAACTTCAGGAGCCCATAAAACTGGTCCTGTCCATGTCTCTGTTTTCTGCCATTTATGCCACATACTACATCTTTCTGTAGTTTGCCTAGTAATGGATTAATGATCTTTTAAAATTCACTTGTTTTAATTATGTAGAAAGCACAAGACAGTTATACATCCAAATTCCAGTAACACTAGGTGTTAGAATTCTCCATGCATTACTTGGCTAGAGACCTTTCTTTCTTTTTTTTAATCTCGCTTGTTTTATTTTTTAGTCAGGTCTCACGGAGCAGGTACCAGTACAGCCAGTTTACATGTTGTTGACGATTGAACCCAGGCCTTCAAGCACACTGGGCACGCACTCTGTCTACCCAGCTATATTGAGCCTTTCTCAGTGGCTTTACTTACCATTTCAGCCCTAAGGGACCAATGCCCTTGAACATTCCTTGCAGGACAGATCTAACAGACCTGGGAATGCCTTCAACTCTCCCTCACTTTTGAAGAGCTGTTATGCTATATGCTGATGTTTTCTTACAACTTTGAATATATCGACCTGCTTCTTTAGCCCTCAAGGCTTCAGGTGAAGCATGGGCTGGTATTTTTATGGAGGGCCTTTATGTGAGGAGTTGCTTCTGTTCTCAAGACACCATTGGATTATAATTTGTCGCACTGTGGGTCACCAGTTCATCTAGTTGGTGTGGAACCTCTTAGATGGCGCTGATTCATGTCTTTGGTTGGCCATTTCAGATTTAAATACTCAGAGCTCCACATTTCCTATGTTGGCTTGCTTGACAGAATACTATAGATTTCTTAGGCTTTATCTTCCCTTTTTCTTTTCTTTTTTAGATTTGTTAATTTAAATGATTATGTTTTGGGTTCACAGAATTATTCTTCTCTTTCCTCACCTGCTTTTAAACTCTGGTGTCTTTACTACCACGTCACTTATTGTACTTAAGCTCTAGGATTTGAGTTCGTTTGCTTTTTGTTGTTTTGTTTTTCAAGACAGGGTTTCTCTGTGTTGCCCTGGCTGTCCTGGGACTCACTCTGTAGACCAGGTTGTCCTCAAACTCAGAGATCTATCTGATTCTGCCTCCCGAGTGCTGGGATCAAAGATGTACGCTACCACCGCCTGGCTAGAATTTCTTTTTGTAATTTTCCCCTTTATTGAAATACTCACTTTTTTTTTTTTTTTTTTTGGTTTTTCGAGACAGGGTTTCTCTGTGTAGCTTTGCGCCTTTCCTGGAACTCACTTGGTAGCCCAGGCTGGCCTCGAACTCACAGAGATCCGCCGGCCTCTGCCTCCCGAGTGCTGGGATTAAAGGCGTGCGCCACCACCGCCCAGCCTCACTTTTTTTTTTATTCATCTATTTCCTGTTGTTGCCAATGCCTTCCTTCATCCTTTCAGCGTGGTAGAGATAGTTGTTTTAATGTCTTTGTTATTAAATCTAGTATCTCATCCTCCTGGGGATTCTTTTTAGATTAATTTTGATGTTCCAAAGCAGTCTGCTGGCAGCTGTATTCAATGATGGCTGTTTCAACAGCCTCCATGCCCACCTCAGGCACGAGCACTGGGTCAGCAGTATGTGGCGGCTAAGTTCCTTCTCGCCCCCACTGGGTCCCCCGAGCTACACCAGAAATAGGGTCTGCCTTTTGCACTGTTGCCTGCCAGGCTTTGGCGGCAGCTGTGACTTGTCAGCAGAGCACTCCCTTGGAAGATACGTTCGGGTAACCTGGAACTTCAAGTCACGCCACAGGGTTTCATTTCCAGATGGAGATGGGTTCCCAACCTCCCATCCTGCCGTCCCCTCTGCCTCCCCCTCACTCCCTCCCTCCTCCCACTGAGCTGTGCAGCAGAACCGTGCTGGGCCCGTTCCTCAGGCACCTGGTACTTTGCAGCAGTTTTTATGATTATGGAGGTTAATGCCTCCCCTCCTGTCTGGGTCAGGAGCTATGCCTGGCCTCCTTTCTGCTGTGTCCCAGTGCCAGGCCTTCCGGGAATACATGAATAACATTTTGTAAACAGATGAGTAGAAGTAACCACCTGGGGTGGACGGCACCTGTGCCTTGATGACTGTTGAGTGGAATCAAGGCAGCTATTGTTAATAACTCATGTGGTCATATACACACCATACAAGTATGTTCACACCATACATGATCCTGACCTGTGGGTCAACAGTTTGGCTCATGAAAGTAAGAGGGGCCTGTGGTCACATCTTGTGGGGTATAGCAGTCAGCTTCAATCTAGGAGAAATTTGCCCAGATAGATGTGAACACCACAGACAGGAACTTCATAGGCTGCATCTTTGGAAGAGGGTTGCCACAACCTATTGCGTTTGTGCTGAGTGGGTCAGTCCCAAAACTCTGAAAAGGAGGAACATGGTTGTCACTCATGAGGTGCATTTTGGTTTTTTTAATTTGGCCAGGGACAGACACACAAACCTTACACGGTGACCTTCGACCTCGCGGATCCTGGTGCTGTTGCTGCAGGAGCAGCTGAGATCCTGCAGTGCTTTGGCTATGTGGACATCCTCATCAATAACGCTGGGGTCAGCTACCGTGGTGCCATTAGTGATACCATAGTGGACGTGGACAGGAGGGTAATGGAGATCAACTATTTTGGCCCCGTTGCTCTAACGAAAGGTAGGTGGCATCTTAGGGTAGGAGGTATGAGCACAGTCATTAGCATGCCAGTTAATCTTGGTTTCTTTTTAGTGAGACACTGTCTGTTCCTGTCCATTTTGCCCTTTGCAGTGGGTGTGGTCATTCAAGTCTGGGTGTCTTGCTTTTTCTGGGTTTATATCTGCATTGTATCTGTTTTGCGCCCTCACATCAGTGTTGGTCTCACTGATGCAGCTTTTGCATTTCTGCTCCATGCATCCCACCGAAGGCAATATTTTGATGTATAGACACAGACTTCAGCTCAGAGGTCCAGTTCCCAGTAGGACAAGGGCTGTGCTGTTTGTGTGTTCTGTTCTCTCCTCTCTCCTGCGGTTCTCTATGGAAAACGGTAGTGTCTCCTCCAGCATCACCAGGCACAGTGACTAGGAGACGCTGTCTAATTTTCCACCCTGTCCCCTCAGCGCTCCTACCCTCCATGGTCAAGAGGAAGCGAGGCCACATCGTCGCCATCAGCAGCATCCAGGGCAAGATCAGCATTCCTTTTCGATCAGCATGTAAGTACTTTACCTTCCTTTCCCAGAGCATTTTATTTTTTTCTGATTATAAAAAATGATGTGTCACTAGCTAGATTCATACACTGTAGAAATACCCTACAGATACATTAGTAACTTCATCAGAATAGTCTTTTTGGGTTTTTGTTTTGTTTTATGAGACATAGTCTTTCTACTTAGCCTTGGCTATCTTGGAACTCACTATGTAGATCAGGCTGTCCTTGAACTCAGAGATCTGCCTGCCTCTGCCTCCCAAGTGTTAGGGCTAAAGGTGTTCGCTACCATGCCCAGCAAGGATCAGAATGTTTTAAGCAATCATGTACCTTAGTTTAAATCCTAGCCTCTTCCCTATCCTCTAGGTGACCTTGGGCAGGTGTTCCTCTCTCTATGTGCTCATCTTCACTTGCACATGGAGACAGCTCAGTGTAGAAGACTGTTAGGAGGAAGGACCTGCAGTGGCCCTGGACCAAAATCCTTTCAGCACTTGGGGGCATATGGCTCCAGGTTTTTTCCTACATATAATCAAACATCCAAAATGGGATCACATTTTACATAGTGTTTCTGACTTGTTCAGTCCACTAGATAAGCATATAGGTTCTTTTAATTAGATATAATTCAGTAAATGGCTATGACATAATTAACTTAGCCATTTTCTTCATCTTTTTTTTTTCTTTTGTTTTTTTCGAGACAGTGTTTCTCTGTGTAGTTTTGGTGCCTGTCCTGGATCTTGCTCTGTAGCCCAGGCTGGCCTCGAACTCACAGAGATTCGCCTGGCTCTGCCTCCCGAGTGCTGGGATTGAAGGCGTGCAGCACTGCTGCCCGGCAGCCATTTTCATAGGCACTGGAGAATCCCCTATTCTCACCTCAAACTTTGACCTTTAGTAGTGATCTGTGACAGAGTATCCTTGAATATTGATATCTCTAGATTAAGATAAGCCTGAAGAAGTAGAAACATCAGGTAACACCCAAACCTTAAAAACACACAGTTGGCTTCTATTCACGTGCCCACTTCTACCTAAGAGAGCGGCTACGATCTCAGATGTCCTTCATTTGTCTGGCCTCCTGTTAACACATGCAAACAAGCACACAGAGTGTAGCTTCTAGTCTGCAGAGGGGGTTAAAAAGATTTGAAAGGTACGCCAGCAGTGGAGGCACACCTTCAATCCCAGCACCGGGAGGCAGAGGCAGGTGGATCTCTGTGAGTTCAAGGCCAGCCTGGTCTATAGGACAGCCAAGGCTACACAGAGACACCCTGTCTCGGGGAGAAAAAAAAAAAAAAGATTTGAAAGCGAGTATCACAAACTCCTTAGTTATCTTTTTCTCTGAAACGGAAGCGCTGACTTGGAAGCCTTTGCCCATCTGCCTCCAAGGACCAGTGCAATCTGGCTAGCCCAGCCGAGGAGGGCTGGACTGTTCCAGCATGGAGGGGCAGTGATACCACTCGGTTCAGTAAAGGGCCGCTGACCATTACACAGAAGCAGTTCCTTTCCCAGGCCTGGACCTCAGTTCTGCCTTTTGGCTCTCCACGTGTGTCCTGGGACCTTCACTTAACTTCAGACCCTAAGCTTTCCACTGCCACCGCAGCCATCTGCATGCCTCCCAGCGCTGGTTCAAAGGTGCAGTGAGCTGTGCTTTGTCACTGAACAGCAGGCCAGCCTGATGCTCTATGGGTATCTCTCTCTGGTCTCATCCTTGTTTTAATCCCGACAGCACTGGACAGTTACCTAAGGCTGCTCAGATGATTCTGCAGAAAAACAAAACCAAAACGCCGTCACCAGGATTGATTAAGCAACTAAGCCAGAGTGTTAATAGTGGTTAAACTGGAGTAGAGGTTTATAGAGTATGTCATGAATTCCTACATGCCACATTTCACTTTGACATATTCCTACTAGCTTTGTTCTTTAATGGCCCACTGACTGCAGCAGGTATGCACAGTGGTCTGGATACTAGATGGTTAACCAGACTGAGTGTGGCCAGCTTCCTAGGGAGGTGGAGTTAACCCATGGTGAACGGCCTTCTTAGCAGTGGAGTGGGAGAAATGGCCTATCCCCTTGTGCTGTTAGACACTGAGATGGTCACAGCACAGCACACACATTGGGGAGTGGCACTGTGTGTGCCCCGAGTGCCCCGAGGAGGGGCCAGCTTTCACTGGTGGAATCGTGGGCTTGGTGTGCACCTCTGAGAGCCCATGGCCTCGGAGTTCAGGAGTGACCCAGCTATCAATGTGGACTTCGGCTTTGAAGACCCAGAATGGCTGCTCTCCTCATCCCTTGGGCTGCCGCTCATCCAGGCCAGCATCTCTACTCACAAGCCCTGCTGCTTCCGGGTGCCTGCTCTGACCCCCTTGCTTTGCCTTCCCGGTATATTTAGCCGATGGGAGCCCCTTTTGACAAGTGCTAAAACATTAGGACTCGAAACTAGAGGAGACGGGTTACTGTGGAGGCGCTGGCTTGTTTCCTAAAAGCCTCACCAGGGTCTCCATGCCCCTGAGCATGACTGAGGAGCTGCTGCTGGGGGACACAGGGGCCTCTCTCACAGGCAGAACAGGCTTAACTTCCTCCTTATGGAAGCAGTCAGAAGGTTTGAATCTGCACAGCCTTGCATGAGGGAGGCTCTCTGAGGCCATGTTCAGCAGGGACAAGGACTGGAAACAACTTGTGAAGACTCCTGTGGGGTCCAGTTCTGTCACTGGGGGACTCCCTCCCCTGAGAGAACTAGACAGACCCACTTGGCAGGGCTGAATATATTTATAGGTGTGTGTATATGTGTGTGTGTATACACACATATACACACACCATGGATATCATTTCTTTTCTCAACCATTTGAGGACGTTGAAGGCACGGCAGTGCTTTATTCCTATGACCTCAGTATCTTCTAAGAACAAGGACTAAGTGCACTTGTCAGAACCAGGACTTGACACTGCTCTAGTGCTGTAATCTTAAATGGTGAACCCACACCGGCACCTTTTCTGCCTTTGTCCACACGTACAGATTCGGCCTCCAAGCATGCAACCCAGGCATTCTTTGACTGTCTGCGTGCTGAGATGGAGCAGGATGACATTGAAGTGACTGTGATAAGCCCTGGCTACATCTATACCAACCTCTCTGTAAATGCCGTCACTGCCGATGGCTCCAGATACGGAGGTAGGTCGGGTTTCTCTCCTTCATCACTAAAAGCTACAGATTGACTGTAATGCAGCACTCTGCTGCCCAAGCAATTCCTGAGCCTGAGTGTTGGCTGCGGATGTGAACTGCTGTGTACATGGCATTTCCCCACTGAGACCCCTTTGGCCTTATCACAAATTCAGCTTTTAGAACAAGATCCCCCATAGGTAGAGAACTGGGACAGAAAATCCCTCACCAAACTTCCCACTAACTCATCTGCAGATCCCAAGGCCCAAGGAATATTATAATTAGGACTAAGTAAATTGAACTCAGGGCTAATGGGGGGTCCAGGGGTAGGGGTGGGGTCAGTGGAAGAAGGGGGCACTTGGTATGATCGGTTCCTGCCCAGGGTGCTGGAGAAATGGCTGGTTTCAGGGAGAGTGTTCAGGTGAGGCTGGATGGGGTGCAGCAGTATCAGCCTCCAACCTACTCAGCCAGCAGCAGCACTGAGCTGACATGCAGGTCCTGCTCATGGGCTGAGAGGCCTGACTCCAGCTTATACATGTAGGAACATCCATCTTGGGTCAGCCGGTCCATGAGTGCTGGAACTGTCAGAGCCAGCCTTACCTGCCTGAGCTTGGAGCAGGCCTGCTGTCTAACACTAAGCCCTGCCCCCAGGATGCTTTCTGTGTCCTGTGCTGCTGCTGCTGCTGCTGCTGCTCAGGTCCTGCAGGTCTTGCACCCATCTGACCAGGTCTGAATCAAGACCACTCCAATCTGGGTAGCTGCCTTGCCACACCAAGTCTCTTCACAGAAAGCCACAGTGGTAGGAGCCAGACCGCTGCTAACCTGTTTATCCTAGAAAATTCAGTTCAAACGGTTCTCAATTTCTCCTGTGGTCAACACACAGTGAGGACAGATCCCCGTGGGAGCTCGGCTTCTGGGTGGTGTATGCTAATGGTCTCTTCTGAGTCTGCGTCTGGTTCTGTTAGCAAGATGGATGAGTCACCAGCAGAGAGGGAACATCAGATGCTGTTACCCTACACCCTCCTAACTGTCCCAGCTGTTCCTCATCCAGCTTTCGCATGCCGCTGGGAACTGGGACAGCTGTTTACTCCCAGCTCAGTGCACAGGGGTGCACATGGGGTCAAGATGGTCTCTACCATCTTCTGCTGACAGCCTTGGGAACCAGCCAGGACAGAGTAGATGATATACCATCCCCTAGTCACTGGTTGTTGCCCAGATGTAGAATATCTAAAGTCAAGAAGACTCTCAGGCCAGTGAAATGGCTCATGGTAAAACCTGCCACCAAGCCTGACAACCTAAGATTTATTTATTTAATGTGGTTTGTTTTTGTTTTTGTGACAGGGTTTCTCTTTGTGGCTTTGGAGCCTGTCCTGGAACTTGCTCTGTAGACCAGGCTGGCCTGCCTCTGCCTCCTGAGTGCTGGGATTAAAGGCATGGGCCACCACTGCCTGGCTTATTTATGTATTTTTATGTATGAGTGTTTTGTCTTCATGCAGGCCAGAAGAGGGCACCAGATCTCATCACAGATGGCTGTGAGCCACCATGTGGTTGTTGGAAATTGAACTCAGGACCTCTGGAAGAGCAACCAGTGCTCTTAACTGCCGAGCCATTTCTCCAGCCCTGGCAATCTTGAGATGTGGGGTGGGGTCCACTCTGAGACCTACCTGTGCTGGCTTTGGACATCTGTCACAGACAGATGAGCAGTCACACTCACTAGTTAGTTGGTTCCACACACTAACTGGTATCCCAAGTCCGTCATCCTGTCTATATATCTTTATCCCCATTTACCTGCTTTGAACCATAAAATAGTTCCTCATTTTCTCAGTGTAACCATCTACTTCCGGGAGGAGCTCTGGGAAAAGCTGGCCTCATGACTGCTCACTTGTCCTCATGTTCTTTTTCTTTTCTTTCCTGTAGCTCTAGACAAGAACACAGCCCAGGGCAGAAGCCCTGCAGAGGTGGCCCAGGATGTCCTTGCTGCTGTAGGGAAGAAGAAAAAGGATGTGATCTTGACCGACTTACTGCCATTCATGGCTGTCTATCTCAGAACTCTGGCTCCTGGGATTTTCTTCAGAATCATGGCCTCTAGGGCCAGAAAAGAACGAAAATTCAAGAACTCCTGATATCGGTCAGTGCTGCTAGCCTGGATCGACCTGGTCAGACTGAGTACCACACCTTTTGGGACTGGGATTGCTCTGCAAGGGATCCATGGCTGAGGGCTATCCTGCAGTGTAAGGTGGACAGAGCGCTTCTGTTTCCCTGGGGTGGGTTAGCCCTTAAGAAGTAAAATATGGAGTTGGGCTGGGACTCTAAAGATGTAAAATAAATGACTGAACAGTGATCAGAGTTCTCAGCAGAACCACATCCTCTGAGTCCTAGACCTGCCAGATTCTGGAAGTGGAGGTTTGGGAACTAGGTGTCCTGGTAGCACCAGCCCCGAGTCTTTTGTTGAGACAGGGTTTCTCTGTGTAGTCCTGGCTGGCCTGGAACTCAGAGGTCAGCCTGGCTCTGCCTCCAGAGTGCTGGGATTAAAGGCGTGCACCACCACCAGCCAGCCACCTCTAACTTATTAAAAAGGCATGATGGGTTCACTGAGCAGGTCAACTTCATTTTCCAAGTTTAGAAAGATATTTTTCCTGTTACAGAAACTGACAGCTGAAACCATAGGAGGTCCATTGGAAATTTCCCCAAATCAAAGTAAATCTCCCATATAAAGCTGTCCTCTTCATTTAGCTCTGGGCCTGCTGAACTGCCTTTTAAAATTATTTAACAGATCTATGTTGTGTGTTGAGCACACCCCCCTTCTCCCTGACTGCTCTTTTCTCACCCCCATTCTCACCCATCAGCCTCCTTCCATTCCCATCCCCTTTGCTTCTATTTTAATATATATCATTTGAAGTGACTATGAAATTTAGGAACCACAAACAAGAGAAAACATGCTATATGATCCTTGTCTTCTGAGACTGGTTCATTCACGGTATTGTCTCCAGTTGCATTCATTTTCCACAAATGTACCAAACTTCATTCTTTATGGCTGAAGAAAGCCCAGTGTGTGTGACCATTTCCTTACCTCTGTTTCATGTCTGATGTTGGACACCTAAGCTGGGTGCATAGCTTAGCTATTGAACAGCCCTGCAGTGCATGCTGATGAACTAGTGTCCCGGACGGTCTGACTGCCATCCTTTGGGTGAACATCAAGGGGTGGCAGATCAGTGTAGTGTTAGGAGACATTTCCACACTGATTTCTGTAGAGGTCACAGTCAGTAGTTTAGATTCGTATTGGCAGTGTATAAGGGTTCCCTTTTGTCCACATCCAGGCCAGCATTTGCTATTTTCTTTTTTCCTGGTTTTTCAAGACAAGGTTTCACTGTATAAGCCCTGGCTATCCTGGAACTCACTCTGTAGACCAGGTTTGCTTTGAACTCAGAGACCCACCTGCCTGTCTCCTGAGTGCTGGGATTACAAGTGTGTGCCACCAGCAGCCAGTGCATTTGCTGTTTTATTTTCCTTTCCTCATTTTCCCCCTTCTTTTTCTTAACAGTTTAAGTTTCACATCTTACATGGAGATATTGCTCTATTTGGAATTGACTTGTGCAGGGTGAGGTAAATATCTAGTTTCCTTCTTTTTTTTTTTTTGGTTTTTTTCGAGACAGGGTTTCTCTGTGTAGCTTTGTGCCTTTCTTGGATCTCACTTGGTAGTCCAGGCTGGCCTCGAACTCACAGAGATCCGCCTGGCTCTGCCTCCCGAGTGCTGGGATTAAAGGCGTGCGCCACCACCGCCCGGTCTAGTTTCCTTCTTAACCATGCAGACGCCCAGGCCTCACAGCACCATTTGTAAGCATTTTTGGCATCTTTGTTTAAAAAAAAAAAGAGGTGGCTCTAGCAGTGTGAGTTCTTATCTGTGTCTTTTATTTTGTGCCATTAATCTCTCTGTTCAATGCCAATCAATACCATGCTTTTTGTTTCTATGACTCTGTAATATAACATGAAGTCATTTATGGTGATAACTTCCCATATTTATTCTTTTTGCTTAAGATTACTTTGGTTAGCTGGGGTATTTGTGCTTCCAAGGTTGGTTTTTCTAGCTTTGAATATTTTTAGGAGTGCTTTTGAATTTTGGTGCAATTGCATTGAATCTGTAGATACCATTTGGTATGGTAGCCAGTTCCCTTCCTTCCTTCCCTCCCAGACGGTATCTCAGTCTGGCCTCAAACTCTGTGGCCAAGGATGACCTTCAACTCCTGATCCTGTCCCTCCCTCTCAAGTGCTGGGTTTCCATGCATGTGTCAGTCACCATGCTAATTTATACAGCGGTAAAGATCCGACTTAGGGCCTCATGCATGCCAGGCAGTCACTTATAAACTGAGCTACATCCGCAACCCCAAACAGCCATTTTCATAATATTAATTCTTCCAGCTCATAAGAATGGAGGTCTTTCCATCTCCTAGTGTCTTCAGTTTTTCCAAGACAGACTGTGTGTAACTGTCCTGAAACTCACCTTGTAGACCAGGCTGGCCTCCAACTCAAGAGATCTGCCTGCCTCTGCCTCCTGGGTGCTGGGATTAAAGGTGTACACCACCACCGCTTGACCAGTTTCTTGAATGTTTTCTTTTTGTAGAGGTCATTAACCTCTCATCATGAGGATACTTCTCAGTTCTACTTTTCTGGTGGAATCTTTAGTCATAATTTGCAAATACCTTTCCCCTTTCCTATTTGTGTTTGATTTCCTTCTCTTATTGTTGAGCCATATGGGTGTTCTGTCTGCATGTATGTCTATGTACCATATGCAATGTTTGCTGCCTGTGGAGGCCAGAGAGTACATATTTTCTGGGACTGGAGTTACTGCCAGGTTTTAAGCTGCCATTGTGGTTGCTGAGAATAGAATCTGGATGCTTTGGAAGAGCAGCCAGTACCCTTAACCACTGAGCCACCTCCCCAGTGCCTTATGCTTCTCTTTTGACCCTGATAGGTGATTAAAAATGGCTACGGATAGCCTAGGGTCAGTGTTGGGAGGCTTTCAAATTACCTGGGAGAAGGAAGGTGAGTGGGTGATCAGACCTGTGGCCTATTTACCCTGGCTCACACCTTGTCCTGAATGGCCCAAGAACTGTGGGTACAGGTCGTGGGTGGCCTTCTATCATCCACAGATGTCATCTACCCTCCTGCCAGGGAGGAATGAGTGCCAGCAACTGTATTGGGGCTGCTGCCTAGTCCCAAGTGCTATAAATCTACAAAGCACCCAGCATGTTCCCAGTGAACAGCAGCAAGGACCCTCCTCTACAGACATGAGAACACTTTCTCTAACACTTGTTGGCTGGCACTTTGAGAAGGGTCACATCTACTACTATTCTTTCCTCTTCATTAAATAGTGTTAAGCCATAGCAGCAGCATGTGGTGATATACTGTGTACCCTAATAAAATATGCTTGAAGATCAGAGAACAGAACAAGCCACTAGATTAAACATAGAGGCCAGGTAGTGGTGACATACACCTTTAATCCTAGCACTTGGGAGGCAGAGATCTGTCTGGATCTCTGAGTTCAAAGCCACCCTGGATTACATGAGATTGATCCAGTATAGGAGAGAAACAGAGCCAGGCAGTGGTGGCACACACCTTTAATCCCAATACTTGGGAATCACATGCCTTTAATCCCAGCACTTGAGATCTCATACCTTTGTTTGGGAAGCACCCAGGCCTTTAATCCCAGCACTTAGAAGGAAGTGAAATGGCTGGGCAGAGAAAGGTATATAAGGTGTGAGGAGACAGGAATTAAAGGCTTTTCAGGCTGAGAAGTCCTAGAGTAAGACGTGGCAGTGGCTTGTTCCTTTTGTCTCTCTATCTTCGGGCAAATTTTATTAGGAGCCTTTTGGGTGAGGACTCAGGATTTCAAACAGAAGATTGGGGAGTTAGCGAGGTGAGATGTGGCAGTGGCTTGTTCCTTTGTCTCTCAGATCTTTCAGCATTTACCCCAATATCTGGATCCAGGTTTTTATTAAAAGACCCATTAGAATTCGTGTTACAACAGCATACTCAGTCATCACAGTACAAAACATCAAACTGCTGAGGAGGTTGGTCTGGGAGACGCTGTGGTAGGCAGCTTGGAGCCACTAAGCCTCACAAGCGAGGGCACCAAGGATTCAAGTAACCTGCATATTCATGGACACTGTAGCCACGTCCTTTGCTTCCCATGCCAGGTGATGATCTAAGCCCTAGGGCTGAGGACAAGAGAACCACCAGCAAGGTTCTGTAATGTAGCTAGTCCAGCCAACCTGAGTGCCCTCTTCCTACCTACTCAGAAACTCCATGCTTGGAAGGCCCAGCCCCAGCCTCCTTCAACTCCTGCTCTCTTGAACTTTATCCTGACAGTTTCAGTCCAGGGCCTGAATGTGGGCAGCTGCCACTGAGGTTGTAGTGCCGCAGCTGTCCTGACTTTCTCTTCTCTGTAGGGGTGCTCCCCCATCCTAAAATTCCTTCGGGTAAGTAGGTGGTCAGAGTTCAGTCTCCATCTTGCTCTTTAAACCTTGTGGTGTCTGGCCACTAGTGCTTCTTGACCCAGATGCAGCCCACCCTACAAGGCAAGTGACAGGGTAAGTTCATGCCCCACGTGCTCAAGGGCACAGTCACTGAACCAGCTGTTATAAGGTGAGCTGGGTGAGACACACGTGGAAGGAGCTTCCTTGGGATCTGCTGGTCCGTTTCCTGTTAACTGCCCCTTTATAGAGCTCTTTGCTCCTGAAAGTGGATAAGTAGGTAGGCAGTTAAGACTAGATTGGCTTGTTAGATTCATTTCATGACCTATGCCTTAAAAGGGCCACACACAACCCTATCAGGTGGGTTTCCAACAGGAGGGTCCAAGCCATGTGGCTTGCTTTCTTCTCAACTGAGAGAGCTATTGTGAAAGCATTGTGGCTATCAACAGAATGTGAGGTTCACAGGCTGTCACTCTCAAGAGCCCAGCACACCCACACCCCTACCCTGCTGGCTAGGGGCCAAACCAAGATGGCATTTCAGAATCTGGGTTAGTCCACTCAACAAGAGTGACTTTGTTCAGTGCAGCTGGGGAAATAGGAAGAAGCTGTTTGTACCTGGTTTCTATTTTGGGCAAGGGCATATGCTCAGCTGAAATGAGGTCCCCAGCCCATAGTCGTCCCCCCCCCACCCCCATGTAATCTGATGTGTAGAAAGAACGCAGCCAGACCAGGTGACTGCCTGTTACAAAAACCCCTCCCATGCTGTGCTTGCCCATCAGGCTCAGAGCCAGCCTTCAGCCACTCCAGGGCTCTCATAGGTACTAATTCACCCTGCAGAGACCTGTTCATCTGGATTGCTTGTGGCTAAGGCAGATACCTCTTGTTCATCCCTTGACCCCACCACACTGCCACATAACAATACTGTTTGTGTAGCTAACATCATCTTACCACTGAGCAATCAAACTCAGCCATTAGTATTTCTACATAAGTCAAAGTTTCTTAGACTTTTATGGGCTTTTAAAAATCTCGCCCAAACTCTGGATCTCTTCTATTACAAATGTCCCAATAGCCCCTGGGAGTTCTCTAAAACCTTGCTTCCCTTATATCCAGGTTAGGACCCCTTCCTGATGCGTCAGCACTTCCTATGGAGAAGCTAGCTCGGCCATCTACTAAAGACCACAGAAGTACAATGCCCCAGCCTTTGTGCAGGGGATCATCTTCCACTTATTTAAAGCCTTAGGAGGGGAAAAAAGACAAAAGACACAAAGCTGGGCACGGTGGCACATGCCTTTAATCCCAGCACTCAGGAGGCAGAGACAAAGGATCTCTGAGTTCTAAGCCCAGCTGGTCTACACAGCAAGTTCTAGGACAGCAAGAAAGACTGTCTCAGAAAAGTAAGACTCACTTCCACAAGGCAGAGGCACCTCCCACAGCCTGGGGCACTAGGTTGAGCTCAGGGCTACATAGGAACAGCAGAGACTTGTTTCTCTGCTGTCCTTAGTCAGTCTTTGGAGAAGGGCTTCTGGGTTTGATGTCCCCAGGTGAACTAAAGGGAGACCAAAGCCACCTTACCCTACTATGTCTGGCACATGACAGCCAACAGGGGCCATGACTAGGCTAGAGTAGCAGTCCAGAAGCTCGGGTAGCTAGTCCTATTATGTTGTGCATTCTTTTTGGCAGGATGTCAGCTCTAGTGCCACTCTGCTGCAACAAGTTGCAGCAGGGTGTGTCTGCAGCACTTGCCTGGCTCACAAACAGCAGCAGCTGCAGACACAGGCATAGACAGAGAGAACAAGTTGAAATTCTCATAATTTTAATGGTCAATAGCTTCCGGTTGGCTTCTGAATGGTATAGTTAAACAATATACTTAAGACATCCCCACAGCAAGTTCACACCCCTCAGTAAGTAGCGTTGGCTCCATCCATATTCCATTGCCCAGCCAGACTTCCATAGCCTGGGACCCACACCTGGGTTATGGAAATAGACATCTTAGTGTAATGAGCTGAATAAACCCCTGGCATACCCATGATCTGTTATTTTTGTTGAAAAATAACAAGTATTAAACCAAACACTTTCCCAGGTGCTGTTGCCTCATGGAGAAAACCCAAGGTGTTGCTGTAGGGATCTGAGTCCTGTGGGCCCTGTGGTTTTGCTCGCGTCCCACTCTCCTGCAGTCATACGGCGTAGAGCTCATAAACCTTCTTTACACAGTACACCAGGGCAGCCAGTGCTATTGTGTTGTGCAATCTCTTTCTGTGCAGGTCATCCTTCCGAACCAGCACCACCGGTGTGGAGGAGGTGAGCGTGTGCAGAGGCAGGCGCGACAGTTTATAGGCATCATACTCCACCTGGTACTTGCAGCATGGGTCAAACTGCCAGGAGATCCCATAGAGGGTACAGCAGGCCAGGCTCAGCACACCAGCGGGCAGGGAGACGTAGTGGGAGTAATCCAGGGGCAGTGCCAACGGGGTGAAGAGGCAGGCAGTGCCAGCCAACACGGCCGTCTTGTGCAGGCAGTTGCCCACAGTGATCCAACGTGCTGTCTCATCTCCAATTCGGGTGGGCTCTATCACAATGTACTTGTACTGGGCTTCCAGCGCCTGCTCCAGCTCATACTCAAACTGGTCCTGGGCGTTCTCCCCACTGTAGATCTCATGCACTATGTAGCAGTCTGTGGCTGACAGGCTAACCCTTTAGTGGAGGGAAAAAGACAAGGTTAGGATGAACAGCCTAGCTCATCTGGATGTGTGGGGTTTGGACAAGTGTTTGCCTCAGCCTCAAGGATAGCCCACTTACAGGTTCATTTGCTTCAGAACCCAACCCACAAGACAACAATTTTTTTTCCCCTGAAAGAAATGGTGAAACAAAAAGGCCACAAAGGTGGCCTAGCATGGTAGCCCACACCTTTGACCCCAATACTTAGGAGGCAGAGGCAGGCAGATCTCAGGTCTGTGAGCTCAGGCCAGCCTGGTCAACATAGTGAGTCCCAGACAGCCAGAGCTACTCCCCCCAAAATCAGACTGTACTCCCAATACAAGGCACGGGGGTAGGGGAGGGGAAGAACACCCCATACCCAGACCAGCACCCCTTAATAAAAAAGGCCCTGGCTTGGAGCTTGGATTCAGGCAGTGCAAATGCTTTACCCCAAAACAGTGACTATAATTAAACTGGGCTCAGGTAAGGCTTAATTAAATCACATGCCCCAAGTCAACTGTGCACCAGGGAGAATACTATTCCCTCGGGTGGGACTAGAGGCCTCAGCATGGGGAACAGAGATGGCTCAGAGGCAGAGCTTGCCTAGCCTGCACAGGGCCCCTGGGCTCGCCCCTAACACCACAAAAATAAAAAGAAGCCACAGCATGGGGCATGGCCAAAGCAGCCTGTCCATTGGCATGCCATGTTGCAGGCTCCTGCGACCTCCCAGGAAGCTGAAGATCCCAACTGGAAAGAAAGCAGCATTCCCCCATTAAGGTCTTCTGTGGAATTCCTCCATCTAGAGTTCATTCCAAGGGTAGGAAGGTGAGCAGGACACCTACAGTTTGTTCACAACAGGACACACTTATTTTCAGACACTTTAGCCAATAAGTAAGAGCTTGAGGAAGGGGTCATCCCAGCTCAGAGTTGAGACACAAAAAGCCAAAGTGCCAATTTACACATCCATCTGTGAAACTGAGACTCATCACAAGTCCTGCCCACTTCCAAAGTGAACACAGGGCACTTCCCTATGCACAGAGACTGTGAGGCAAGCCCTCTCCCCTGTGGAACACTCAAGGCAAAATGTAGGTTCAAGCTGGGATTGCAGTGCCCTTACAATGCTGTGGCCATCTTGAACACAGAGCAAACAGTTTATCTCAGTAAGGCACGTCCAGCACCTCCGACAGACTGCCTGTCTTAAAAACTTATCACTAGGCAGATGACACTTTCTGCCTGGCCAGCACCTCCTGCACGCCAATCTACCCAGGCCATGCTGACTCTACCTCTATTTGTCAAGACAGATGAATAGGCATTTTCATGATTACAGACATGTCTGGAAATGGGAGGCCAGTGCTCCATAATATGGGGTGACATGAAGCAGACACAGCCAGGAAGAGCTCTGAGTCAGTGGGTCATGACTCTCACAGCTTGCAGCAGCTATAGACATAGCTGTGCCCACCCGATCCTCATATACTCTGAGCTGGTCCTGTAGATATGCTCACCAAAGCCCTTTCCCACCCATTCTGGACTTGGCCCAACTATACAGCATGAAACAAGCAAAGCAAGCCAACAACAGAGGAAGCAGGATACCACACAAGGAGTCTCTCAAGTTCACAAGTAGGCAGCACCTACACACCCATGGGTACCAGACACATCAATTCTATGGCGACAGCCAGTTAAGAAAAGTAGTACCACGTCTCCTTTGGGATGGTAGAATCTTTAGAAAAGTGTATTTCCAGAAAGAAAATGGTTAACACTCAAACCAAACATCATGAAGCACAAGTCCCCTATGTTGAAGTGCATGGGATCACACAAGATGCCAGCACCCTACTTTGTTATGCACTGGTAGGAAGGAGGGAGTCAGCCGGCGGTGGTGGCGCTTTAATCCCAGCACTCAGGAGGCAGAGGCAGGCGGATCTCTGTGAGTTCAAGGCCAGCCTGGGCTACAGAGTGAGTTCCAGGAAAGGCGCAAACCCTGTCTTGAAACCCCGCCCCCCAAAAAAAGGAAGGAGGGAGGGAGTCCTGCATGCCACAGCAGGTGTGGTTTGTTTTTGTTGAGATAAGATATCTTCTCTGTGTAGTCCTGGAACTCAGAGATCAGCCAGCTTCTGCCATAAGTGCTAGGATTAAAGGCATGCACCACCACCAGCTCCACCTTTTTTTTTTTAAACAGGGTCTCTCACTGACCCTGGAGTTTGCCAACTGGCTAGACTGGCAGGCCAGTGAGAGCTCCAGGGATCCACTTGTCTTCCCTCTCCCCAGCACTGGGGTTACAGGCTGACACATTTCATTTAGGTGCCCCTCCTGCAAGCAGAGTAAGCATTTTATCCACAGAACCATCTACCCAACCCCAGGAGGGTGTTATTTTAGTTATCTACCTGTTTACATAAAAGTACCTGCATATCCAGGAGACAAGGAGGTCTGAGAACAGGGCTATTTATCATTAGGAGGGAACTAAGTGGCCCAGGGAAGGAAAGGGAGCCCCCTTTCACTAAAGGACCTTTGATCCTACACTTGGTCCAACCTCTCTATGCACTTTGCTAACACTGGGTGAGGGGTCACTCTATCCTGAGCCGTCAGTGGAACAGGTGGCAGCCTTGCTCCAGCACCTCAGGTCATGGGCCTGCCCAGGTTAACCAGCTTTGGGTAGGGAGGGAGATAGGCAGCAAGAGTGACTTGGCAATGCGGCCAAAAGGCAGCTCTAAGTCCATACCTTGCCCTCTCTGGGATACAGCTGCCCTGAGAATATCTGGCAGGCTGTGCAGAGGGCTCTGTAATCCCTCTCACCCCGACCCAAGGCCAAATCTCAAATGTCAATCTTCCCAAAGTCTAAAAACACCCTTTCAAGAGCTGGTGAGAGCAGAATCTGCCTGTTAATCGAGAAAGAACTCAGCTGGGCTGCCCACTACTATGGTGATATTTTATTTGTATTAAAATGTTATTTGTATGTTAATAAATAAAGTTGCCCGGGGGTCAGAGCTATTAGCAAGCCATAGGAAAGCAGGGCAGTGGTGGCGTACGCTTGTAATTCCAGCACTTGGTAGGCAGAGCTGGGTAAGTCTCTGTGTGTTCAGGGATACAGCCATTATTGGATACACATGCCTTTAATTAATACCAATCGTGGAAAACCTGGAGGCCTATACAGACAGGCCGTGATGAGGCGGTCATGTGGTTGGGTTTACAACCAATGAGAAGGCAGGACAGGAACTCTATATAAAGACTTTAGCACAGGGGTAGCTCTGGTTCAGAGAGGTAGGACCACCGCAGGAGGAAGGGTAAGGTTTTAGCTCTTAGCTCTGACCTCTTGGCTTTCTTCTTTGCATTGGTTCTGTGTTTCTTATTTAATAAGAAGGTTGGATACATCTACATTTGGCGCCCAACTACCCGGGCAGTGGATGGCATGGCATCCTGTAATGGGGATGCATGCAGCAGCTCCTCTCATGCTTCACTGAGGTACAGAACTAATAAGGTCTGTCATTCAAGTCTGTCTTTGGGATTGTCAACTAGGAAGAGTAAGGAAATGAGGCTTCATAAGCAAGATGGTCTCTGCCAGAGGGAACTATGTGGGGTAAGGCAAGGCTAGCTTTCCACTTACAAAGTTAAGTGTAAGTACAAGTTTTGTTTTTTTTTGCAAACATGGTATCCCTGGCTAGTCTTGAACTCACAGGGATTGGCCTGCCTCTGCCTCCCGAGTCCTGGGTGCTGGGCTGCCTCTGCCTCCTGAGATTAAAGATGTGGGCCACCAGGCCTGCTTGGCTGAAGCACAAGTTTTATTATTATCTGTGATAAAACATACATAACAAAATTTAGCACCTTATTAAAATAGTTACACCACTATACAACTATCTCCGTAAGGTGTAAATCCAAAGTCAAACCCACTGAACACCCCCTTGTCCCCCCTATTCTATTTTCAACGTACTGAGTTCAACTATTCTAGGTAATACACATTCATAGAATCACATTATTTGTCCTTTGGTGGCTTGGCCATTTCACTTAAATGATGTTTTCTTTTAAAACAAAACAATTTTCCCCCTTAACATTTTTGTTTGTTTTTCTTCTTTTCGAGACAGGGTCTCACTCCATAACCCTAATTGTTCTGGAACTTGCTATATATACCAGGCTGGCCTTGAACTTGGAGATCAACCTACCTCTGAGTTCAAGGCCAGCCTGGTCTACAGAGCACTGAGTGCTGGGATTAAAGGTATACACCATCAAGCCTGTCCAATACTTGGTTGTATGTGTGCATGCATGGAAGTCACAGGACAATTTGCAGACGTCAGCTCTTTCCTACCCTATGTGAGTTCTAGGGAAAGAGCTCTCTCCAGGCAAATACTTTTTAGCCGCTGAGCCATCTCTCTATGCCCTGCCCCCTGTTTTCAATTCCTTTTAAAAAGTTTTTATTTTATGTGCATTGGTGTTTTGCATGTGTATGTGTATGTGTGTGTGTGTGTGTATCTGTGTGAGGTTGTCAAATCTTGAAGTTACAGACAATTGTGAGCTGCAATATGGGTGCTTAGAACCCAGGTTCTCTGGAAGAGCAGCCAGTGCTCTTAACCACCAAACCAGCTGTTCAGCCTTTTTTTTTTTTTTTTTTTGGAGACAGGGTTCCTCTGTTGTTTTGGTGCCTATCCTGGATCTTGCTCTGTAGACCAGGCTGGCCTCATAGAGATCTGCCTGGCTCTGCCTCCCGAGTGCCAGGATCAAAGGTGTGTGCCACCACCGCCTTGCCCTCTTTTTTTTTAACTTAAAATTTTCATTCAGGAGAAACATATACATGCCAGAGTACATATGAAGATCAGGGGACTGTAAGTTGGAGGTGGCTCTCACCAAGGGCGTCCCAGGTACTGAACTCAGGTCCTTACTCAATGAGCCTTACTAGCCCTGTTTCTTTTAAATAGTAGTCACTAGGGGGCTGGAGAGATGGCTCAGTTGTTAAGAGCACTGCTTGCTCTTCCAGAGGACCTGGGTTCAATTCCCAGTACCCACATGGCAGCTTA